TCTCTCTCTCTCTCTCTCTCTCTCTCTCTCTCTCTCTCTGTGTGTGTGTGTGTGTGTGTGTGTGTGTGTGTGTGTGTGTGTGTGTGTGTGTGTGCTTGCTCTGTCTTTCTCACTCACACACACATGTCGGGTTTTGTTGACTGCATGTTCATCTGATGGCTCCTGTGTCATTAGGCCTTCATGCATAACATTGCCATCGTGCAGTTATGTCATTTCATTTTACGTCTTTGCCATCTTGTCTTTTTTTCTTGGAAGCCTTTTCTGTCCTTGTTCAATCATATTGCTGTTCTTTTGAATTATTATGTAGTGGAGACTGCATCTTAGCCCCAGTTTCTCAATTCCTGGGGATATCCTGAGGGGAACTGATTGGAAGCCACACAACATGACTACCCACCGGCTAAGTGCACTTGAGTTGATGAATGCCAGTCATTACAGCTGTATTTGGTGCAACTTTCAGTCTAGGTACGGTGATAGTCATGTTGTGTGGCTATGCCATGTAACACACATTCTAGAATTCAATCGGACTCTACCTTCACCTGAGCAATGCAAGATGTGCGTATGAGACCCACACCTAGGGCCAGTAATGAGTGGAGTAATGTGTCTGCACAGTACGTACGCATGAATGAGGCTGTAAGAGTGGTCATGTTCCTGCACTCTGCTGGGAGCACCCTTGGTCTGTCTCAGCTTAGCAGCTTTGGTATATAACACTTTTCTTGAGTGCATAGAAATTCAGACCCTCACTGAGTCCTGAAGATTTTTTTTTTTTTTTAATTATTAAAACAGAACCTTATGGTTCTGGCTCCTTTTCCATTCTGGGGAGCATCAGTCCGGTTCTTATTCCACCGGCAAGTCAAAAGAAAATACATTGAGAACACTCTCACGCTCCTCCCCCTTCTGGTGTGGAGGCCCGAAGGACGGCATTGATTACTTCCATCAGGAAGGATGTACCCCCCTAAGGGCCCCCTTCACCCCTGCCTAAGTTAGCCTGCACTACTTTTCTCCTGCCTTTTGCTAACCTGGCGTTCAATTTGTCCTATTACTTGGAAGTAGACTCCTTTTGTTCAAACCAGTCAGTTCTTCTCAGCTCATCAGCTGTCTGATTCTCTTATCTCAGTAGAACTGCTGGTTGACCGCTTATGGTGAAATCTGTGTAAGCTGCGCACTATGGGGCTGTATTTGTTGCACTCCTTGCTAAAACCCTAAACCCTAGGCTGCCTGACCCTTGTATTAGGACCCTCACTTGTGACCTGTGCTTTTCCATGGTCTGACATCCTATAGGACTATCTCTGGTGAATCTTTGGGCACTATCTGACTTCTCTATTTCATAGGGTGTTTACCTGCTGCTTGTGTCGCTAACTTATCACACAGTAACCTATAGCCAACTGCCTTTCTTCTGAAGTATTGATCTGTTTAAGGTTGTTCTATCTATTGTCTTAGGTTTGCCTATTCTGTACCTAAGCTATTCCTGAGTTTTATCTTGCAGTTAGAATATACCTACCTCTGACCGGTTGTGCATTCTTGTACTGTCTTGTTCTTTGGGGCTAGACTGATTGGGCATTTCCTTTTATGGTCTATATGTTAGACTAGTCTGAGAGTATGTTGGCTTCTAGGTACTCGGGGATACTGTTAACCGAGGTGTCTTGGGTATGGAGTCTTGGTGGGAATTCTTTCCATAATCGGAATACTATACTTGATTTTCGGATCAAAGCGCTTTTGCCTTTGCTAGGAAGTGTTCCTCAAACTTGTATTGGTGTTCTTTGGCTTTGGTTTCGTCTTCTTTCATCCTTTTGCGCACCTTATGCCATAGGACCCAATATTCAGTTTCCACCTGTTGTTGGAGTATTGTCCAGGCTTCTTGGGTGTGCATTTTCTGTTTTTCTATTGTTTCTTGACATCTTTTCTGCCATATTAGCCATAGTGTAGCTTTTCTAAGTATTCTGAAGAAGTTAGATTCTAGTGGGGCTCCAATTTTCTGGGCTCTTGAAACCTGGGAGTACCAGTGTGTTGTTGCTTGTGAGAGTTAAACCTGTTACTATATTCCATAACTTTGCTACCCTTTGCCATAGTGGTTTTATTCTAGGGCACAGGAGGAAAAGGTGATATAAGTTTTCTATTTGCCCATCACTACAGTTGGCGCATAGTTCTTTCAGTGAGCTTCTGTCCTCCTCCTTTCTTCTGACATTTAGCCATGGGTTCAGTGGGACTGCTAGATAGAGGATTAACCATTGTAGGCTTCTAAATTTGGGAGGGTTTATGAACGCTATTCTGTTCCATGGAATCAGGTCTAGTGTTTCTGTTTCCACATCGAGGTGTTTTTTCCAGCGCTCTCTTATTATTGGGTCCGGGGGGTGCGGAGCGGCGTCTCAATCTATCGCCTAGTTTGGTGTTTTTTTTTTTTTTTTTTTTTTTTTTCAACATCTCCTAGTCCTTTTTTTTTTTTTTTTTTTTTTTTTTTTTTTATTTTCTAAGATCCCTATTGTGCTATTGATTCTGATAAGAGCATCCACCGCTGGGATCTGGGGGGGGGTTGGTTGTGTATTGTAGTAGGTTGAATTTGGTGCTAATTCCTGAGGTTCAATTTGATGTTAATTCCTGAGGTTCCTTGTTTAAGGTTCCATGT